CCTTAGGATCCCATGGTCAGTGTCAATGCCAGCTCCAGCTGCGAGCTTTTGTCCCTCTAAGGCCCATACCCTGCAGATTGTGAACCAGGCAGGGTCAGGCCCGGCTGGATGGAAGGAACTAGATACAAAGGGAGGGTGACCTAAAGGAAGAAAGCCCTAGAGGCCAGGATCCTGAGGGTCGAGCAAGGCCTGGGCCGGCCACCAGTTGGTGTTCCTTAGACTGTGAGTGAGGAACAGCCCTGTTAGGCTGACAAGGGATTTGTGTACAAACCCCCAGAATGTCATGGGATTGTGGCCTTCACAGGTTATGCCCAGGGTTTATAAGTGAAGGAATTAATTCTCCATGCTCTAAAGATGATGTCATTTGGGAGTGGGATGTCAAGATGAAGCTGGTGAAGGAAGCCTCCTCTCGAAGGACAGGGCTAGGCCTCTGACTGTGCTGTGCTCTTGCTGGATGGGAAGGAAAGGAAAGCGAGTGCTGGGGCCTTGGGGCTGACCCCTCCCAGCCTTTCTGCCTCAGATGGTTAATCCACGCTTGTCCCAGTAACACCCCTTACCCCTTGTCAGCTGGATCAGCAATGGGCATGTGACCCGCCTTCACCCACAGACCAGAGGGGGTCAGCCATCCCCTGAGAGAGGGCAGGCTTCCCACATGTGTTGTGCCCAGCCTTCTACCTGGCCGGGCAAAGAGGAGCCTTAGGGGGTAGGGCCTTGAGGCGATGGCTGAGCTCCGGGGCCGCCGTGCCTGTGGGTCCCCTGGACGTGTGGCCATGCATTTCCTTGTGGGTTAAGCTGGCTCTGTTACTTGCAACCAGGGGTGTCTTAAGGGACCCAGAGGCCTTTCTCAGATGAGAGAGCCAAACCAAATGGTTCTCCTGACCTCTGTGAGAGGTCAGACACAGGTGGACCCAGGGATCTAGATCCTGAGCCAAGTGGGCCCAGAACAGCACTACCTGACACACCAAACATCCCCTTGAGAATTCGTGGGCCTTGCTGCCTCTCTGCTGGGTTGAGCATACGTGCAAGTGACAGTCACACGTGGGCATTGAGCTTTATCCCTCCCTGGGTTTTTACTGCTTAGATCGAGTCTGAGCCTTCATCTTGTGTCTCCACGTGGACATGCTGACTGAGCCTGAATCCCCAAACCTGCAATCTTCAAGCCCTTTGTCTGTCGCTTCCAGGCAGAACTGATCCCAGGGGTGATACGACACCTCTCTGTGGAACAGGGCAGGGAAAGGAAGCGTTGCCTGGACACTGTCCACGCCTCCTCTTCTGCCCAACACAGCTCCCTATCAGGGTGTGTGGGGATGCTCAAGAAACAGCGAGAACCACACTCCCCAAAGGCCTGCCGGTCACCACATCCTGTCCCATCAGCGTTGTCCTGACATACTGCTTACGGAGGCCACTCCCGGCAGAGCCCTGCCAGTGCATCTAGCGGGGCCACCTCACCCACTGTTTGCCAACAGCAGAAGGGGACAGAGCGACTGTCTTCAGAGTCCCCTTGACAAGGTCACCAAACCCTCACAGCTTGTTATGCTCTGCGTACAGGTCCCCAGGGGACTGGAAAAGTCTAGGTGCCTGCCCCAGCCCCTGGGAGATTGCTGGTCTGGAGGGAGGACAGTGAAACCGCACTGCCTCCGTCTGCTTGCAGCCTGCAGCGTGGGCAGGACTGCCAAGGACTATGACCTCGGCAAAGGGCAGAAGACCTTCTAGTTTCCGTGTGGCCACTAGGGGACAGGAATGGCTCTGATGAAGTTTGTGCTGGCACATGTGGCCCAGATGCCAGAAGCGGAGCTGAGAACCTTGCCTCTTCTCCTCAGAATAAGGCAGGGGACTGTGCCCGCCCAGAGCTGGGGCCGGCACACAGTAGCACGTTCTCCTTTCTTCTTGCCCCTGCTTCGAGGCATGTGCGGTGGTTTGTGACATCCAAGATGACCAGGAAAGGTCCCCATCTCTTTCTGTACCTCACATCTTTGGGAAGCTTTTAAGGGGGTTGGAGGGCTCCAGCTCAGCCTGAATTGTCCTCATGCCGCCCCCACAACGCAGGGCTGTTCCACATCAGGGTTGCAACTCTCATCCTTCAGAGACCAGGCTGAAACAACTGTGAGCAGCAGGCAGATATAGGATAATAGGGAGTGGATGGGACTGAGGCAAGCAGGAGAGTGCAAGCCAGACCCAAAGACATTCAAGTTCAACTAAACAGGTTGGGGTTTGGGTGTGGGTTGGGGTTCGGGTACGGGTTAGGGTTGGGTTTAGGGTTAGGCTTCAAACCCTAAGCCTAACTTAAACAAAGAACCATTGGGGACTTCCGTGCCCCACAGTTCACGTAGAAGAGAAGGAGGGGGACCAGATGGAACAGAAAGCATAGGGCAGCATTTTCCAGAAGATGAAGAGGCGAGATCTGAACCACGGAGGTTTGAAGAAGGAGGAAGCGCCTCTATTTTTTTTTTTTTTTTGAGCTGAGGTCAGGTGATCAGGAAGCTGGGGTAAGTCCAGGAGCGCTCCCCACGAGGAGGGCTCAGTGGGCAATTTCGATGCATGTCTGTCTGATTCAGCCACTCGGCCTTGCAGGGTGTTACTCTGGGACTAAAGGACAGGCTGGTGACAGGCGTGGGTCTGCCTCCCACTCAGCGCAGGGTCTCTGTCTGGTGGAGCCCCAGGAGGCTGGGGGGTGTGGGAGGGAACCGATTCCAGGTGTTACTCAGGGGGGTCAGAGAGACAAGCCCTCTTTCCAAAAACTATCCTAGAGCTGATATTTGAAAGTGTGCACGATAATCTAGTCATGTGGACCCATCAGACAATATCCTTGACTTGCAAAGTGAGAGTCATGCCTTCCGGTTCTCCTTTCGTCCTCTGGCTGCATCAGAGGAGAGGCCCTGCCCGCCCGTCGGCCTCACCACTTTTCTAACACTTGCTAATCCACTCCAGCCTCAGTGCCCTTTGCAGGCAGTGGTATCTAGAGTTGGTAACATGCTTTTCATTTTCATTTTTTTGGGCAGTTGTCTTTGATTTATGGTGAGATATTGGCTTTTCCATTTATGGTAGTGATTTAAAGTATCCTTTAAAAGTGTAAGTATATGATTAAGTACTGTATAAAGAACTAAAGATGGCAGTGGTAGGACGATTATGTTTCTAACAACAATAAACCTGGCAGGGAAGTGAGGTCGTAGAACATGACCCTTGAAGTAGGTGAGGCAGCTGGTTGGGTCTCACTCATCTTTAGAGGAGGAGGAAAGCATGGCCAACCAGAGGAGCAATGAGTGAAAGAGGGTCATGGGTTCCAGGATAGCACCTAGCTGGACCCAATTTGGGCTGCTTGGCTCCCTGAGCTGCAGGATTCAACCCATGCCACTTCTTACAGGAGTTCCTCCAGGATGCCTGGTTCTGAGTCATCTCTCTTTTCATATACTGATCACCATCCACCTTTCTCTAGAATGAGCTGTGTCATCAGAGGTCACAGAGGGGGATGCCTGTTGTGGGTGGAGGAAAGGGACCTATAGCAAACTGCAAGGCATGTGCCCTATTTAGTGGTTGATAAGCAGAAATGCAGGCCCAGTGTGGCTACACCTTCCAATTTCTCAAGAAAAGTCAGAAATCTAAATTCTTAAGTGAAATGTCACCATTTTTAAAGTTGACAACAAATGTTCACCATGCCTGGGGGCCAGATCTTGGTTTGGGCATCCTCAGGTGACACAGAGGGAAGCTTCCAGGTGAAGATGGCCATCAAGCTCTAGTGCCCTCACACCCTGGTCCTGAAAATGACAGAACCGAGGATAAGAAATCACAGTTGGAGCTAATTGTGCAAGTCATGTGTTTCCCCATAAGCTTGGGCCCTCCTAATTGGCAGGGAGGGGCCTGGGGCATTGGGTCCTGCCCAACCAAGGCCAGTCCCAAACCCTGGCCACACAGCCCTGGGGCAGGGTGAAGAAGAAGATCCAAAGGGACAGTGGTCACTCTCTGGGCAGGTGCGGCAAAAGTCTGGGGTCACACAGGAGAGAGGTTTGGACGGACACATGCCTGGGAGGGGGTTCCCAGGGCGGCCTGCGGAGGGCAGGTCACTGTGGGAGGGACCGCAGGTGGGACAGTGGCTCCAGGCAGTTGCAGGATCAGGACCGCTGGAGGAGGCGGTCTAGCTGCGTTTGGGCTTCCACGGCAACTTGCTCCAGGCTGGAGACGGATGCCTTGGCTGCTGAGTTGGAAAAAGTGGGCAGGGTGCAGAGCGGCTGTTTCAGGTGGGCCTGGGGGAAGGCAAAGGCCAGGAGGCTAGAGCACCTCTGGGAGTCGGGACAGGTGAGGGGAGCAACCTTACTTCAGCTCCAGGAGGGTGCCCAGGTCTAGGTGGGCGAGGCAGTGCTCAGAGGCTGCAACGGAGGGGTGGGGAGGCGGTCGGAGGGGAACAAGGTCTTTAGGCAGAGAGGAGTTGGGGGCTGAGGGAGCCTTGCCTCTCGGTCAGGGCAAAAGTTGATCTTTGGGGTAGCCCCTGCAGCGCATGCACCCTCCTACAAAACCCTCTCCGGGTCAGCCCCAGGGCGCACGGAGGGTGAGACGGCCCCTTGTGCCGCAGGGCTGACGGGTCGGACCTGAGCACCCCGAGGACTCTTTGCGTGGGTCTGCTCCTCCCAGGTTGTGTGCCATGAGGACGCGGGGCGCGCCGAGAGTGGCCGGCGGTGGGGCTCCCCTGGCCCGGCCCGCGGCGCTTCTCTGCCGTCGCCTCGGGGTGTCTCTGCTTCGCTGCGAGCCGGGATCCGCGGCGGCGGCGGCGCAAGGAGGGGAGCGGGCGGCGGCGGCGGCGGCGCAAGGAGGGGAGCGGGCGGCGGCGGCGGCGGCCGCCGCGCCAAGAAGCGCCGGGTCACCGCAGGCTGAGGCGCCCGCCGTCCCCGCCCTCCCCCTCGCTCGTCTTCTCCCTCCCTCCCGCTCCCTCGCTCGCTCGCTCCTTCCCTCTCCCCGCCTCCCCTCCGCGCTCCCCCGCCCTCCCCTCCGCGCCTCGCCTCCTCCGCCCCGCGCCCTGCGGTGCTGCAGCTGCGGGCGGCTCCAGCTGCCCCCAGATGTGGGCTGGGCGGCGCGCGGGGAACTTTCGCGCCGGCTGCGAGTGCGGGGCCCCGGCTGCGGTCCGGCTGCCATGGATCCGCCGGCGGGAGCCGCTCGCCGCCTGCTCTGCCCTGCGGTGCTGCTGCTGCTGCTGCTGCTGCCGCCGCTCCTGCTGCCGCCGCCGCCCGCGGACGCCCGGCTCGCCGCCACCGCCGACCCCCCAGGTAGGTGCGGCCCGGCCCCCGGCGCCCGCGACCCCCTCGGCCGGGCCCCGCCCCGCGTGCCCCACCGCCCCCTCCCCAGGCGTGGTCCAGCCGGACTTGGGCAAACTCCGTGCGCCCCGCCCGGGGCCAAGTTGGCCAACTTCGGGGCCGGGTTGGTCGCGCAGGGGGCGCCCCGCGGCGCACCCAGGCGCCTTGGGTCTGGGGGACCCTCGGACCACTCGCGGCTCCTGGGACGCTGAGCGAGGAGACCAAGGGCCGGGACAGCCCCGCGGCGGAGAGCGCAGCGCCAGCCCCAGCGGGTCCGGGGGAGCCAGGGCGAGGCGGCGCCCAGGCTCGCGTCCGGGGAGGCTCGGGAAGAGCCGGGTGCCGAGCGCGCCGCCTTGGGCCCTGAGGATTGGCTGGGGCGCCTCGGAGGGGATCCCTAAAGATCCGAGGGACCCTGCTCCACCCCTCCCTGCCCTCGGGCGCGCGGGAAGGGGGGCTGGCAGTGGGCTAACCGGGAGCAGGACGCGGAGGAGAGGCCGCCCGTGCCCGGAGGGACCGAGTCTTCGGCGCTCCGGAGGCGAGTGGTGAGGGCGCTCGGGCGGGGGTGGGGGGACGCCGAGGAGTAGCGGCGCACGGGTAGGGAGCCAACCGGGAATGGCTTCGGAGCAGTCCCACGTCCTGCCAAGGACGGTAGGTTCAAGGGGCAGGGGACGCTCTGACGGGGCCATCCTCTGGGGAACTGTGAGGAGCCCGCAGAGCCCCAACCCGGAACGGGGCAGGGGGCAGAGCTCTTGGCTGGGAGGGTCCCACAGAGGGACGGCTTAGGGGCGGCGGGGCTCCCGAGTGCTGGCCCTGTGAATGCCCCTTCCCGGTTGGAAGGAGGCCGGGGAGGTGCAGGCTAGTTTCTGGGGGTTGCCTGGCAGAATGCCCTTCTCTTCTCAGTGGGGGGCTGGGGATGGGGCTGGGGGGTTGCGGGGCTTGGCGGCGGAACTCTGGGCTCCGAGGTCTTGCGGGCCTAACGCCCCTTCCCATTGCAGGCGGGCCCCTGGGGCACAGAGCGGAGCGCATCCTGGCGGTGCCGGTGCGCACTGACGCCCAGGGCCGCTTGGTGTCCCACGTGGTGTCAGCGGCAACGGCCCAGGCAGGGGTACGGGCCCGCAGGGCCGCCCCCGTCCAGACCCCGGGCTTCCCTGGAGGCAGCGAGGAGGACCCTGGCGGCCGCCTGTTCTACAATGTCACGGTCTTCGGCCGAGACCTGCACCTGCGGCTGCGGCCCAACGCCCGCCTTGTGGCGCCCGGGGCCACGGTGGAGTGGCAGGGCGAGTCTGGCGCCACGCGCGTGGAGCCCCTGCTCGGGACTTGCCTCTACGTCGGAGACGTGGCCGGCCTGGCTGAAACCTCCTCTGTGGCGCTCAGCAACTGCGATGGGCTGGTGAGTACGCGCTTGTCTCGCTGCATTCTGTCCACTGCCCTTGCCCGGGCTTCGGAAGCCGTTACCTGGGAGTCCCCTGGGAGGGCAAAGCCAGCGCTGAGGACCTTTCCCACACTCCTGTGCCTAGGGACCACGGGGCACGGGGTTGGCTGAAGGCAAGTTATTTTGATTGGTCTGAGAGGGGTGATTTATGCAGGGGGAGCGCCAGGATTTCCAAAGTACTTAACAAGTAGCCCAGTGTGCATCTCCCTTATACACGCCTGCACGGGTCCTCCTCTTGCATCCGGGTGCGGGTATATCTCTGTGAGCGTGTGCATCTGCACATGTGTTTTGGAATGTTGGTGTGTACTTGTATCTGGGTACCTGTGCACCTGTGTGATGTGAATGTGCCATTGTATGTCTCGTGCATGTGTGTATCTGTAGGTTTTTGCTCATTCGTGTGTCAGACTGTCTGTTGAGTGTGTATCCCTGTGCATTTTAGCATGTATGATGTGTGTGTCGGGGGCACGTGTGCTGGCAGTCAGTCTTCTTGTTTCTGTGTGTGCAAGTGGTGCCAGCCCAGGGAATGGGCAATTGTGCTGAAATGCCCAGTTATCCCTCTGCCCCTTGGCTGACCAGGAGCTACTGATTTTTATGCTGTGGTTTCCTGTTGAACTTCAGCTTGTTATATGAAAAGTCAGTTTCCTCTATTTTGAGCCAAGGGGAGCATTTGGAAATGCAGGCTCTGGTGCCCATGGGCAGCCCCTGAAGGACAGGAGAGAGGTGAGGGGGGGGGTCCCTCCTGGGACTGCCTGGGCCACCAGTGTGACTGGAGCCCTGGGGAGTTCTGCTTCCAGGGACCGGGAGGGACCATGGCTTGGCATAAGGGGACCTCTGAGGAAGGCTGGATCGATGCTCAGGGAGAAGGCTGACATTGGCGGTGCTCTCTCTGGCCACCCGGGGGCCTGGCACACGGCAGAAGCCACTGCAGTTTTCTATTTTGGATTGGGTGTGTGGTGGTCAGGCCGGCTGTGTTGGCCAGACATCTGAAGCCGCCCACCGTGGATCCCGTCTAATTGATGCTCAGGGCACTCCTGCGCCAAGTGAGGGCCGGCTCTCCCAGCCCTGCTGGCCCCAGAGCTCTCCGTCCTTAGTCCTTAGCCTTGTCCTGCCGGCTGCAGAGCCGGCAATTACACTGGAGCCCCACAACCGCGGGTGTTCTTTTTATGGAGACACAGGAAATGTCACTTGTTGCTTTGGAAAATCACTGCCTTTGGCTGGATTTAGTTAGAACCCGGGCGTATTGCAAACAACTATAAATGTCCTTGGAGGAACTGGGTTAACATGGTGCAGCCCTTTCTAGCCCCATCATCTCTGAGAACATCCTAGGTCTCATAGATGTGTCTCTTTACGCTGGAGGTGAATTTCCTAAATAAAAGGGAATCCGTGTTGGGGACTCCAGGGGTGGAGTGCATGGGGGTGTTGACACAGATGGTGGGTCAGCTCCTGTGTACTGATTAATTCCTGGTGGAGAGCATTTCAGGGGCCTTTTTCACTGTATCATTCATTCATCTGTTCATTTGGTGATTCATTTCTTCAGCCAGCACCTCCTAGTGTGTTTGTCCCCTGTGCTGGTGCCCTCCTAGGGCTCACATGCTCAGGGCGGCTGATGTGCAGAAGGGCACTGTGGCCAGGGCTTTGAGAGTGTGCTCCTTGGGGGCCACTGGAACAGTGGGTTGCCAGTGGGCAAAGTGCAAGTTGTCAATTGTAGCAGAGGGCAGAGCATGTGGAGAGGTAGCGGGTGTGCATCTGCTTGGTCAGGACAGGCATGGTGCGATGCCACACATCCTGGATACACACCAGTAGGGGTGCAAGACAGAGCTGGAAGAGGGTCTGGAGCTTGCCTGAGTGGCCTTGAATGCTTTCGGTGAAAAATGGCCTTGAGACAGTGGGGCGGCACCATTAGCTCTTGTTTTCTTTCTTTCTTTTCGGTGTGTGTGTCTGTTCTGATTTTACACCAGTTAACTCCTTAACCCTTTAAGTTCCTCTCTTCATCAGTGAAAGGCCCGCTGACTGAGGGCCTGGGGCTTTACGCATCATGCTCTGGTCCTCACAGCGACCCTGCTGGGAGGGGGCCGCATCCTTTACAGCTGGGCTGGTGAGGCTGTGGGAAGTTGAGGGACTTGCCCAAGGCCACACAGCTCGTGATGGCAGGAGTCTGGCTTGATTCTGCCCAGCCCCTTCTGCCAGGGTGCTCCCAAGTCTGGGCAGGTGGAAGACACTGAGGAGTGGTAACAGGAGCCATTAATTCCTGGCATTCCCTCTTAATAGGCCTTATGTGGACAAAGGCGTCTTATCCTCCCAGCAAGCCAGGCCCTTAGCCACTGTGCCACACAGCGCCCCTTCCCCTGCAGCTCCTGCTCTTCCCTCGGAGACAGCGGAACACACAGAGCAGGTGTGTTAGGCTGTGCTGTGCATGCAGACCCCTGGGGATCTTGTTAAAATGCAGGTTCTGATTCAGCAGGTCTGGGGTGGGGCCCAAGGGTCTGCGGTTCTGGTGCGCTCCCAGGCTGAGGCTCCAGGGCCTCACAGCGCCCTTTGGGAAGCACGGCTCTCTAGCCCCATTCCTGCAGGCTTGCACATGTTGCTGTGAGCACGTGCCGTTCTGTGGATGACTGGTGTGAGAAATGCTGTGCCTTGCCTTCAGCCTGGGAGATTCAAGGGGGCCCACGGAGACCTCTGAGAAGTTCTGTAACAAAGAAACCTCATGAACTCTGTGTAATCCAGCACTTCCCACCCACATGGGACCATGGAACCCCTTCTTTGCAGACATGTAGAGCCAGCTTTCCTGGAAGATGCATGGAGAAACCATGGGCCAGGAGCACAGCAGGCAGCTGTGTCTTTTGGCTTAAGCCTGGGGGATTAGATGGGACACACCTCTCTGAGGAGCCACAGGCTGCTTCAGGCCCATTGTCCTGCCCCTGGCCTGGGACACACATTTGCTCGTCTACTTGCCTGGCCCTGAGTTTGTTTTTCTGATTTAAAAGAAGGCAGTAGTAGCTTTGCTTGCTGTGGACAGCAGTACAAGGGGATTCTTATGTCACTGCATCAGTCAGGATCAGAAAACTCAAGTCGGATTAGTTTAAACAGAAACAGGAAGTTATTAGCTCGCATCATGGTAAGTCTTCAGGCATGGCTGGATCCAGGAGCTCCCACCAGCTCATTAGGACCCTTGCTGTCTCTTGCCTCTGTTTTCCTGTGTTTCTGTTTCCTGTATTCTCAGGTGGAGTCCTTTTATGGTGAGTCAAGGGGCCCCAGCAGTGCCAGGCAGACATCTTTTTCTGATAATTCTAGCTGAGTCCTGGGTATCTCTCAGCTCAAGCTGGGGTCAGATGCTCCCATGAGAACCAGGACATGGGGGTCTGCAGAATCTCATAATGAAGAGTTAAAGAGGTGCTTCTCCCCGAAATGATATGAGACTGAGGCCCTGGGCCTGCCAAGGTGCAAACTCTGTTGAAGTTAGGTGGAGGTGCAGACTCAAGACATGCTGCATTTAGACGAGCTTCATGAGACGTGCCCTGCACGCTTCCTCTACAGAGGCCGGCGGAGGGGGAGGTGCCGGGTTCTTTACAGCCACCAGACAGAAGTTGTCCCTGATGTTCCCGGGGAAAGGTGAAAGTTTGCCTATTTCATGAATATAATGCTTAACCAAGGATTCTTGTCCATCGTGTTGCTACAACAGAGTTCTCTAGTACCTCCAAGGTCACAGCATAGGTGTGATGATTTCACATCACTTTTATTTGCAGATTAAAATCCCAATGAGAAGCCGTCGGCATTGACAGTAACAGCAGCTAGTCCCCGTTGGCGGTGCCCCTGCTTTGTGCCGCCTGGGCTTGTTTCCTCCCCGCGGTCCTCTGTGGCCTATATCTGATGTTATCCCCTTTCTACAAATGAGTAAACTGAGGCTCCAAAAGCTGAGTGAGCCAGCTCCCAGCCTCACAGCCAGTATTTGAACGCATGTCTGTCTGATTCCAAGACCATGCTCACTATATTTTGTTGCCTTTTCTGCACACCAACAAAAAAAGAATACAAATGAAGAAATGCATTTCTTTCAAACATTTCCTACCTCTTCTGTCTGACTCCTGGAGGCCATCTCAGCCTTTGTCAGTGTGAATGAGTGGGAGCTGGGAGCAGACCTGCTGGCCTGGGGGCTTCCTGACCCACTGCCGACCTGCCCTGGGCCGCAGTGCCTTGCAGGCTGCCTGAGTCCTCATGGCTGGGCCAGGGCAGCGGGGACTCCAGGAGGACCGAAGCGCCCTGCCCCACCGCCGCCTCCCCGTCAGTGCAGCCCTGGTGACCTCTCTCGGCCCGGCACCTCTGACCAGGCAGGGCCCGTGGTCGAAGCCTCCCCTGGCTGGGCAGTGGGAAGGGTGTGGCCTCTGAGGTCTGGTCCCAGCCTGTGGCCTGAGGGGGGCAGTGTACACCCTTCCCTGGGGGCTTGGTCTGAGCCCCCCTGACTCAGTGAGGTAAACCCCCCTTGTATGGCTGAGTGTCAGAGAGGCCCAAGGGCTGCTTACTTGCAGGCTGGGGCTCCCCTGCTAGGCCGCTATCCTGGTCAGGCACCCACTCTGTCCAGTCTTGACGGGCATTAAAAGTCACTAAGGACCACAGAGAGAAGTCATTTGCTGGCCCAAGGGACTGAGATGAGTTTCATTTTTCTTAGCAAGGCTGCTACCTTTGAGGCCACATCCTGGACCCCGCGGGCTCAGGTGCTAGCTGCAGCAGGCCAGGCTGTGGGGCTGGGGTGGGGGTGCCTGAGACTTGCAGCTGTCCTTGTAGGGTCTTCCTTCCTCCCACCGTGTCTTGGCACTGCCTGGAAGGCAGCGAGGGGGTCTCAGGAACACTGAAGAGGGGCTGCAGGAACTTCCGGGTTCCTTAGATGTCGGGGCTCCTCAGGTCAGAGGAGCAGAGGCATCTGCTTGACCCCTGCTCTTGTCAGTTTCAGGCAAGCTGCCTGAGGT